AATATATATCTGTAAACAAAGCATTCATTAAATCTCTGGTATTAATAGCACAGGAATCATCTCTCCAGTCAAACACCTGTTGCTTATAAAAACAAAAGTCTTATTTCATAATAACAGGAAAATGCTGAATTTCAAAATCCATATTGGTTCTCAGCAAACAAATGGGCTATCTGGCTGATGTAAGATTAAGGAAACAATCCCAAACATTCAGAAAAAATCTTTCTTTTAAAATTTGCTTGAAAAACTTGAGTTTTTAGAGTGTAAGTAACCCAAAATTTAGATCATGTTGTCTGTTAAACTGTAAATTGTGACACCACAAAATAAGCTCTTCAAATTCCTACACATGAAGAGTCATCCAGAGTTTAAATAGGGCTTCCCACTGAGGTGACCATGGGTGATTTTGTGGAGGACAAACATTGAGGTTGACTTCTGAAGTCACATATCCACCTGCCCATATTTCTGCCTGGGTATCTCCCAGGCATCTCAAATTCATCCTGTGAAACCTGCTACTTCGTTTCCCCCTGACAAAATCTGTGGCCCTTTGAGAATTCTCATCTCATTGAATGGCACCAGCATGCACTTAATTTTTCAAACTAAACCAAACCAAATCCAGAAAACTGAGAATCATCTCTAATGTCTTTTTTCCTTTAGTTCCAGAAACCATCTAAACATCAATTTATCGCAATAAATATTTTTAAGCACTCTAACTTGTTCCTTTCTATCACCATGAACACTACTTTAATGCCACCATTTTTTTTTAACCTGGATTCCCATCAAAATGTCCAAATGTACCACCTGTCTATTATCTGTTGGATGTCTATATTCTCCATGTAGCAATAAAAGTGAACTTTTGAAAATGCAAAGTATGTTGCTCTTCTGTTGCTTTCCTATTGTTCTTAAAGTTGACTTAACCCCTGAATACCTTTCCAGCCCCAGCATTCACCACACTTTTTCTTGCAGACTGTGTGTACACCAAACTAGACTGCTTTAGAATCTACAATGGGTCAGGCTGGGTTCTACTGTTCCTTCCAATATAATTTCCTCAGGAAGGGTGCCTCTGATTTCCATGTTTTGCCTCCTACCATACAGATACTACAGGGAGTGAAGTCAAGGATCATTTTTTCTATTTCACCATATTCTGAACTCCCTCACAGAGTCCTTTTGTTATGGTAGAAGCTTCATTAATCACATCTTTCCTCAAAACTATAGTAATAATAAAAAATATTAATTGAGTGACTGTTGTGTATAGGTTCTGCTCTAAAACAATATATAAACAAACCTATTTAATAGACAAACTCCTCATGATTTTGTTTTACAGCTGAGAAAATGAAAACAGAGTAATTTGTCCAATTTCACACATCCGGAAAGAGCAAAATCAGTATTTAAGGCCAGAAAATCTGCTCTTAAGTCCTATGATGTCTGTAAGAAAATACAACATGGCACGCACAATTTAAAAAGCATTTAATTGCAAGTAATTCCACAATTAAAAAAGCATACAATGAACCAAAAGACTTGAGCTTCTCTTGAAAAATCCATAATCTGTCTGCACTGGGGCCTATCCTTTCATGGAACAACCCCCTTACAAGGGAATTATCTCCTTTTTCTGTTGTCTCCCTGATAGAACAAGCTTCCTCCTTTTTTTTTTAAAGAGAGAGAGAGAGAATTTTTTTTAATATTTATTTTTTAGTTTTCGGCGGACACAACATCTTTGTTTGTATGTGGTGCTGAGGATGGAACCTGGGCGGAACGCATGCCAGGCGACCGTGCTACTGCTTGAGCCACATCCCCAGCCCAAGCTTCCTCCTTTATGATATTTTGTTTGGTCACTGTGGGAATTAGTGTTCATGATTACAGTTTATAAATTTCTTGGAAATAAGGATTATGCCTATCTTATCACCAGATCCTCAACATCAAGTGAAATTTTCAGGTATAATATAAGTACCTGATGAATATTAATTCAATGAATGAGTTACTGAGTGGTGGAAATTGGAAAAATTGGTGGCAGCAGAGAAAATATTTTCAATAAGGAAAATTTCATAAGTAAAACAATCTCCTAAAAATGTTTTTTTCATAAAGGTAGTATAATTATGTTACCAATTTCTTTGAAACCATAGGCTTCTGAAATTTCTCTCATTATGTTTCTTTCTGGCATTAAATAATACTTGCTGGGAGTAAGTAAGGACAATTCTAAGCTGGACCCTTTGTGCTTTCTTGAATTAAAACTTGGCCATTGACAGATTTTTATCTTTTCTTTGTTATATGTCAGTGACATGCCATTCAACCAATCAAAGACTACAGTTTATGTGGGTCTGGTTATTAGTATAAAGCAATGAATAGACAAAATCCAAACATTTAAAATCAGTACTATGAAAATGGTTAGTATCAGTGTTGTGGAAAAGACTAAGAACATGTGGCAGAGGTGAATGATTACATGGGTTCCATATTTTGGAGAAATAGCAAGCTTTGCAGTCCTTTGTGAAAGTTGGTCTCTCTCCTCTTTTAGCATGAATTTTCTCTGCCCAGCAGAAATCAATTAATCTTTCTGTGCCCACGTTTATGCCTCTATAAACTGGAGGAAACCCTTGCTACCTATGCTCAGAAGAATGTCCTGATAAATAATGAAGTCATGTCTGAAAAGCACTATATAAAAACAAAGTATGATTATGATTTTTTTTTTGGTTGGAATTAGCATGTTTCCCACAGTTTCAAACTAGTTTGTATTAACTGTAGGATGATCTAATATTTTCTTTACTTCTTTTTTGGGGGTTACTCAAGCAGCTTCTGGGATTGCTAATGTGCATGTTTACTGCTCCATTTTCATAAGCTACTTCATACATAAAGCGACAGAATACAAGTATAACACAAGCCGTTTCTTTTAAGAAGAAAAGAGGAACTTGCTTCATTTTCCATATTTTCCAATCTAAGCATTGTGGCTTTCCCCTTTATATTCCCTTTCTGTAGTAAATGTTCAAAACACAGTTATTGAGTGAGAACAAAAGTATGATACCACTTTCAGCCAGTGTAAAACCTTTGCAGTTTCAAGCAAAACTACATCATAGATCATTAGTGTTTTGAGAAGAAAGTGAGTGTTGATGCAGAAAATCTTAATTAAATAACAAGTTGCTTAAAACACGATCAATCTGACCTTTTTTCACTGGTATTTGTGAGGTATAGTTCACTTATCAAACATTTTGGGGTTTGGAGTACAATAAATTTCCCCATTTTTAGGCAATTATTCACAGCCTGTGTGAAATCACCATTTTTTTTAAATTTTTTTTATTTTTGGTACTAGGGATGGAACCCAGGAGCACTTAACCACTGAGTCATATTCCCAGCCCTTTTTATTTTTTATTTTGAGAAAGTGTCTCCCTAAGTTGCTTAGAGCCTCACTAAGTTGCTGAAGCTGGTTTTGAACTCGCAATCCTCCAGTCTCCACTTCCTGAGTTGGGATTGCAGGTGTGCACCACTGAGTCCAGCTTCGATTATGTTTTAATGTTTGGGATATTAGGGAAATGTCTTCATGGTTTTTGTACTTCCAAAATTTAATTGAGTTCTACCACGAAACAAACTCACTCTTCTTTCCAAGCAATGTAATAGAAACTTATCAGAGTATTAGCCACACAGAGTATTTTTCGCACATTTTTATCTATTTGTTTTTCAATGATCGTTTACATATTACTCTTCCTACATTAAGAAAATCATTTTTCTTTTGGTTTTTCATTGGAAAGACATTTACTTTGGCAACTCTTCTCTCTTTAATCAACTGTGAAGAAATATGAGGTTTTGATGGGGAGAACTTATTCCTAAGAAGATCAAGCCTATGTTCTTAGTAGCCTACTTCTTCTTGGTAGAAAAGACCTAGAGAAGGGGAACGAAACATGGGGGTCTTAGGTTAACACTGATAAGAAAGGTTGTCCATGTTGAATCACATTGTAGGACTGCTAAGAAAGACTTTCAATTTAGATGTGGAGATGAGCAGGATAGACAGCTGCTTTGTGACACTAAAAACCTCCATGTATATTTTGGAAGGGAGAGCTAAGCATGATTATCTTGCATTTGCCTATGTAATTCAATCATTCCCTGGCATGGGCTCCCCTGGAACTTACTAGGAGCCTCCTCACACCCAGAAACATGTGCTTTCAATTGGAAGGTGTTTACAAAAAGACCACTTGCCAGCAAAGAGAATGTTTTTCCTCTCCCAGTGGGGCTCTTACAGACAGGTTTTAATGTAGTTAAACAGGAACTGAACAAGAAGCTTACAAGAGTGATGTTATGGGCTAGCATGCTTATTGTGATTTTCTCATAAATACAAAAGGCAAATATATAAGACATCAAGATGATTATTCCCAGTCTATCTTATTGGTCCTCCATCAGAATTTTGAGTCCTTTCTTCCCCATCATCTTCTCTTTGTATTTCTTTGTTCAATCATGTTTTGTGATACACCTTCAGAGTTTTAACAAAACTTAAAGAATAGTTTCCAATTTTTGAGAGCTATTACTTTAGAGAAAATAAGAAAAACCTGTGAAAGCAGATGCCAATGAATCCTGTTGTTTATGCTGCATCTACCACAGTCACCTAAGTGCAGAGGGAATCGTGAAAGCTACTGAAGAACCAAGGGATAAAATATTCAAGTATTAAAGTTAACCTAAGCACCAAATAGCACATTTGTGCACATACAGGGTGAAACTTCTTTGGGGAAGAGCAGTTGATGAGCCAGGGAATGTGAGAGGAAAGAAACTGAATGTCCTCAGGAGTTTAGGAATGGGGCCATTGCTTTCTGCCATTTTCTTTTCACACATACTCAGTCATTCTACGAAGTGTAAACAGATGCTGGGAGACTGATTGCTAGGGTTCTGTGAAACTTTCTTCTTTTTTTCCCTCCTTATTTCAGTGAAAGAAAAACAAACTGGATGAGAAACGCTCAATTACAACTTCGGGTGAGATAAAAAGCTGTAGGTAAATGGTCATTACTTATTTTATTTTATCAAAGCAAGCTTACGATCAAATGGCTGGAGGGGGTGCTTCCTTCCTTGACATTCTTGGAGTCCTCTTGCTCCTCCTCCTCATTGAAGGGCTTTATATTAATCTCACCAATGTAGAGGATACAAGTAAACCAGCTCCATCAGCAGTGATCTCTGTGTGGGAGTCTGAGCGGACTGGACTTCATGCAAACACTGCAAGCACATTCCACAGGGATGGAAGTGATCTCAGACACCCAGCTACAGTTGACAAAATCTAGGAGTCAGGTGACAAAGTGGTGACATGGTCCATGATGACAGCCAAAAAGCAGTTCCAACTTAATATCACATACACAGACATGAGCCAGCTTCACTCTGTATCACATTGTTATGTGGTGGAGACAAACCGCAGTGAAGATGAAAGTTACACACACACACACACACACACACACACACACACCCCATTCCACAGGTCTTCATTCTTGAGTAATAAGATTACAATACTAAGATCTGCTACCCATGGGAAGTCTTTGAGCCATTCACCACCCAAGAACCTATAGTGGACTAAATAAATTCTTAAAATAAAGATGAAAATTCTAAATTATAGTACTTTAGTGCACAAAAGTAATGAGAAGAAATGAGAAGGATATAATAAGGAAACAGGTAAACTTCCTATGGTTACTTTCTCACGACACAGATCTCTGGAAAATTCAAAAGCTAGCATTGTCTTACTTCTTTACAATTAATGTGATAGGAGCCTGCACTTCAGAGTCACTGACTTGAGAGCAATCGGATAAGTCCATGTAGGTAAGTCCCTGCTCATCCCAGGGTACAATAGTTTTGAAAATAAGCACTTGAGAGTATTACAGAAGTATTCATTTCTTTGTTCTGCTTCTTATGAAGTGTCTATTTTTAATGTGATATTTTTGTTTTGTTTTATTTTTTGTCCCAGAAGAAATATTTTAAGAAAAAAAAATCATGTGGCTCATTTTATTCTTGCTCTACAAGCAAGGAAATAAAATATTTTATTTCTGCCAAGAAAGTTAGTATAGACGGTATTTATTTTATGTACAGTTTGTAGCCCAGAACGACCCATCTCCAACAAGTCCTCTTATTAGATTGCATGTCTTCAAGATTAGAATGAATGAAAAAAGTAACAATTGAAGATAAAATCTTTTATCTTATTTGCAGTGTTCACAGAGTGAGACAGAAATGGTCATCATATTTTAGAAAACAGCAAAGTTCTGAAAAATCACTGCCTTTCTCGTCTTCATGACTGTACTTCTTTGAATTCTGCCACTTGACCTTTCTACATGTCACCTTGCCTTCTTGTTCCTGCCTCTCCCTTCCAACCTCCCTGACTTGATCCTTCCTTCCTTCCTTCCTTCCCTCCACAAAAATTTATTGATGGCCACTTACTCTGTGCCAAGCAATTCTGCTAGGCTCCAGACAATTAAAATAAATGAGAAGTTTTCTCTTTCACATTTTACTTTGTATACTTTTAAATTATTTGAATTTTTTCCTAAAGCTGTCACTTTTTAAAGATATTGCAAAGAATTACTTTAAGAACATTATTCTAAAACAGAGGCCAGCAAACCTCTTCTTTATAGAGCTGGATAGTATTTTAGGCTCTGTGGGTCATAGAGTCACATATAATGACCATACATTGCCACATATGGTGGCAATTCTGCCTTTGTGGTGTGAAAGATAATAACTGAACAAGTGGGTGTGGCTGTGTTCCAAAAGAAAAAGTGTTTATAAAAACAGGTGGCAGATCAGATTTCGCCCATGGGTCACAGTTTGTGAACTCTGGTCTAAAATGATGATAAAGGGCCATGAACTGTAGACAAATGCAACATAGCAATTTGTTCCAGTAGCCTCCCACATACAGCACAGTAAATATTGGGTTAAATACCAGAGTATACTGATCTTAAGCAATTTATGAACCATGGCAGGTCTTCAGTCTCCTGTGGAAAAATTCACAAGGAAACTTAATTAGATATCCTTCAGTGTTTCTCTAACTCTCAATTTTGGTTGTCTTCTCATATACAATTAAAATTCCCAACAATAGAAGCAGTTTGCTCCAATTTCTCTGAGCCACATATGCAGAGAATAAGCATCTCTCATCATTGACGTGATCTGAAGAGTGGGAGCTGGTGATCTGAGGAAAATTAATTATGAGTTTGATTAAACAAATAAGGTCAGTCACACATCATTTAAGACACACTTCATGTCTCTTTTTTCATCCAACCCTCATTACAAGTACTTTATATAGCAAGAATGGATATTATCTCCCTCATCGTCCAAATAGGAAAGTAGGAGATTAAGGAAACTGAATCACTTACCTATTATCCTACACTGAATGCCTAGCTAAGCAGAACACTAATGCCAGCCAGGCTTTAATTCAGAGTTCTTTAAACCATGCCAATATCCTTCTAAAATAGGCACTTTGGAATTCCTTCAAAAAATTGCAATATGATAAAATGAGAGAACAACAGTACCAGAGGGACCATTGTGCAAAGAAAGGTAGGTATTGTGTAACAAAGTTCCATGAGGTAGCAAAATTGAAATATACCAGCACAACAGAAACAGCATCATATTAAGAAGCTCCTATATTGCCTTAAGCCACACCAAAGTACCAGTTTCCCACACTCAGAAAGATGAGGAATTTTGGGTCAAGCAGAGCTGTTCTGTTCTGCCCACGTTTACAAACACACCCATTCTTACTTTAGAGGAGAAAGTATAAGAATTAAACTATTACTATCCTTCTAATTAAAATATCTTTCTTTCAAAATACAATCCCAAGTTGGACACTTTAAAATTTTTATTGTCTTTTTCTAAAGTTGAAGCTTTGGTCATTATAAGTGACAACAATAATATCAACTGTTTCTGAAAAACTATATTCTTACTGATTTATTTTTCATTTTTTGTGTTTTCCATGCTCCATCTGATTTTATGCATGCATGACTTTTCCCTCTTTGCCAAGTTTTTAAAAATGCACATGCATCACTCTGCATCTTCAAAGCATTTTACAAACACGACCAAATGGGAATTCTCTAGTGGTTTAAAATTAGCTCCCTTTTGTTTTACTTGTGAGCCTCTAAAATACCTTACTACATGTTTTTACTTTTATTTATTTTCAAAAAAAATTTTATTTCCATATTATCTATATTTCATTCAGTACTTACTAGTATTGTCCAGGCTTTTAAGCTAGAAGTGAAGAGGTAAAGAATCCTGTCTTGCTTTTATTTTCCCATTGAATTTAGCACTGGTTTAGCACATTCTAGATGTACACAGTGTATACTGGCACCAATAGAGTGACAAGGATGGTGATGATTATGAGGGCAGGAGCTAGTTAGTGCTGAGTCCTGAGGATACAAGGGAAATTCTAAAGGTTTTTAACACAGTTCATTTGGGTAATGTCACAAACTATGGAAAAAAAAAAAAAACTATTATGGAGTTGCAGTGCGGGGTTAGAAATTTTCAATGGTTTGAATAGTATTCAGTCAAGCTTATGACAACAGCATTTTAAGTACTTTCAAATCTTTCATTTGTCTGTTTGAGACAGTCTTGCCAAGTTGATGAACTGGCCTTGAACTTGTTATCTTCCTGCATCAGTCCCCTGAGTAGATAGGATTACCTGCTTGCCACCAAAGGCAGCTATATCATCTTTCTTTTTATTCCTCACCCAATTTTTTAAAAATGTTGTTGGAATTTTTTTATTCCTTTATTTTGTTTATGTATATATAGTACTGAGGATCAAACCCAGTGCCCCACATATGGTAGGCAAGCTTTCTACCACTGATCTACAGTGCCAGCCCCACACAATGCACACAATGGTTTTTTCAGTTACCTTTATACTACATTTTTTTTCATTTTCCTTTTATGATTTTATAATCAGAAAAATTCTCCTGGGATAGGCTGAAGAGTCCCCTCCCCCAAATTAATATGTTGGTGTTCTAATACCTAGTGCCTCAGAAGGTATCTGTATTTGGAGAGAACATTTTAAAGAGAGGATTAAATTAAAACAAGGTGACTAGGATGAGTCCTAATTTGATGGATTGGAATCATTATAAGGCGAAATTTGGACATAGATGGGAATAAGGGAAAGACCATTTAAAGACACCAGGAGAAGATGGACATCAACAAGTCTGGGAGACTGGCTTCAAAACAGAGCTGCCCATCTCACGGAGATCAGAGAAATGGTGAATAGAAGAAAGAACTGAGGAATAAAATGTACCCTTGTAGGGAATCAACTCCAATAACCTACCCTCCAACTAAGCTCTACTGCCTACAGTTTTTACCAACTCCCAATAATCCTGTCAAATTATGAGCCCATCAATGTGGATTGATCCACTGATGAGGTTAAAGCTCATGATCCAATTCACCTTTCTCTAGAGCCACCTGGGCCAGCAACTGCAAGTGCCCTTCAGCTGTCTTTTGTCCACCTCTCTATTTGGATTACAGATTAACACTCTCAGCTCTGAGATAGAAGCAAAAATTTATGTGTACTTTATAATGTTTAAACAACAACAGATAACATTTACATCACTATAGTAAAGTATTTACATAACAGGAAAGAGAGAGGATGTCTTTTTGGGGGCAGGGGTATCAGGGATTGAAGTCAAGAAATCTCCACCACTGAGCCACATCCCAGCCCTGTTTTCTATTTTATTTAGAGACAGGATCTCACTATGGGTGTTATTTCTCTGAAAACTACTAAGACTGTTGCTTAGCACCTGCTTTTGCTGAGTCTGGCTTTGAACCTGTGATCCTTCTGCCTCAGCCACTGGGATTACAGGCATGCACACTGCATCTGTGGAAGCTGATGTCTTTTACTCTTTTCTCACTCTTAATTGTAAATGATTATTGATATAGATCTGGAGGCTGTATGATATTTTTGGAAGAATTAATATTAGCTGTAAGTGTAGCCTGGTCCAGGAACATTAATATTTTTAGAAAGTGTGTATAGTCTCAAAAATTATGTAAGTTATCATTAGAATTGTTTTTAAATTCTAGGCACCTAGTGGGAAAGAGAACAACTAGAAGTTGCTCTTGCTTTCTTTTTACTCATGCAGATCTGACAGATCTAAGCTATGAGAATTTTTTGAATCAAAAATTCTCATAGCATAGATCTAGAAATTCAAGCCTGAACAGAAAGGGCCAAATGACCGTCTGGGTTTTAGAGGTATCAATGGTGACAAATACCAGTAAATAACATTAAGTTACTTGTTTTTCCCCATCGAGTACCTTTTTCCCCATAAACAACTACTCCTTCTTCTGCCTCTGCCTTGGCAGGGATGCCAGC